AGGAAACATGAGTAAAGGTATATATGTATGTATATAGTTGTTTATGTATTCTAGCAAGAAAACTATATTTATTTTGGCACAGGGGACACTGCTTAACACTGCTGAAGGACTTGAAGCTAGTGAAAGGTTCTCAGTCTCTTAAGAGTGGACCCGACGTGACATAAAGACCATTCGTTCAGCAAACAGCTACTGAGCAACTCTGGTGTGCCAGCACTGGCTAAACATACCAGTGAAGCAGGCAGACCTGATGAAGTTTATTGTACAGGGAAGGCCAGTTTTTCTCCTTTAATTCTGGGTAGTGAAAAGACAGGGGATGGGTAATGTACCGCCACAGGTTTTTAGGAACTAAGGTGTTCCTCACCCAATGTTGAAGGAAACTAGGAATAACTTACTGGGAAACTTAATTTATTTGCTTAAACAGGAAGTGTAAGACCTTCTGTTTTGATCTGCCAAGGATTTCGTCTCAGAACTGTTGCATAAATGGAGGTTATATCTGGTAAAACACCAAACAAGACAGATAAACATCTAAATTTCTAATGTGTTCAATGGGTTTCAATTCTGAAAAAAGAATATGAATAAAGATTTTAATTAATATTGATGTATCATCTTTTCCTCTTAATCTTTTTTCCCTCCTTTCAGGATATTTCCAGTGTTACTTTTATAAATTTCTTACCTGTTGTGTTTAGGAACAGAGAAGATTACATATTTTATAATGAAACTTCAACAGGGATTGTTTCATAGTATCTGATAGATATGACGTTTATTTATTTATTTTTTGAGACGGAGCCTCAAGCTATCCGCCTGGGTAGAGTGCCATGGCATCACGCTCACAGCAACCTCCAACTCCTGGGCTCAAGCGAGTCTCCTGCCTCAGCCTCCCAAGTAGCTGGGACCACAGGCCATTTTTTGGTTGCAGCCATCATTGTTTGGCGGGCCCAGGCTGGGGATTCGAACCCACCACCTTAGGTGTATGTGGCTGGCGCCTTAGCCGCTTGAGCCACAGGCGCCGAGCCTAGATATGACCTTTATCTTCCCTCCCCAGTCTTCAAAAGGTTCATACCTTGGGGATGGTCATGCCTGTAATCCTAGCACTCTGAAAGGCTGAGGTTGGAGGATCGCTTTAGCTCAGGAATTGATAGCAGCCTGAGCAGGAGAGAGACTCTGTCTCTACTAAAAATAGAAATCTTAGCTGGGTGTGGTGACATACACCTGTAGTCCCAGCTACTCACTACTTGGGAGCCTGAGGCAGGAGGATTATTTGAACTTTGGAGTCTGAGGTGGTTGTGAGCTAGGCTGATACCACAGTACTCTAGTCTGGGACAGCACAGAGAGAGACTCTGTCTCAAAAACAAAAAAAAAAGTTCATACCAGGTTGTAACTGCACCAACATTTTCCCTAGGATCATTCTTAAGTGCTTTTTCTTTCTTTCTTTCTTTTTTTTTTTTTGGTAGAGACAGAGTCTCACTTTATCGCCCTTGGTAGAGTGCCGTGGCATCACAGCTCACAGCAACCCCCAACTCCTGGGCTTAGGTGATTCTTTTGCCTCAGCCTCCTGAGTACCCGGGTCTACCGGCAACTGCCACAACACCTGGCTATTTTTTGTTGTTGTTGCAGTTTGGCGGGGGCCAGCTTTGAACCCTCCACCCTTGGTATATGGGACCGGTGTCCTACCGACTGAGCCACAGGTGCCACCCCTTAAGTGCTTTTCCTATATTTAGTGATTAACTCCATTTGTGAGCTGCCGCAGAGGAAAATAATTATGAATCTTGAAGAACCTGTTAACGTAATACCATAAAGACAGGAAGAGAAGGCCAGTTTATAATTCTTAGAACACTTAGGCTTTTAATTTTTGAAATGGAAATCCAGCATTATAAACTTCAACCAGGCAACTGAAGAGAGTTCTCAAGATTTTATTTACAGTATATTTGTATAGTTTTTGTCTTTTGTACTTAAATACATGTTGGGAAGCTGAAACCCGGTCCATACATCTCACTGACTCACCACATTCAGACTCTTCCCCAGCCTACAATTCGAGATTCCTTTTTTCCTCAAGCATATCAAAACTGGAATTAGAGCTGAGAGGCAGCTCAGAGTGGTGACAGTGGGAGGAGGAGTCAGTTACTAGGTAGTTTTTTACTTAAAAAACTGATTCCTAAAAAAAAATTATTTGCCTACAAAACCAATTTTTAGTAGCCCTCGTTTTGTAAAATATATAAGAATGGGCATCACCATCAGTTTTCCATGGGTGGGGTTTTGTAAAGTAAGTTCAGTATAAACCCCAGGGCAGAATGGTATTAAATCACAATTATGTGAGATGTTTGGTTTTACTTCAGTAGATATTTGGGCATTGTACTGCAGGTTGTGGATGCCATCAAGATGATGGTGACTGTCCCTTCCCTCAAAGAGCTCAGTCTAGTCCTGGCATATGAGAACTGCTTGTGAGGCCCAAATGCCTCAGGACTGAGATAGCTATAACATTGAGTGGAAATAAGCAGCAGGGAAGAATCTCTCAGAGGGAGACCAGACCTACGCTAAAGAAGAGGCTGATCCAGGCTGACAGGTGGTGTGTATGGAACCCCTGACTCTGGAAATGCAGCTCTGTGTGTGCAGAAGGTGCAGTGCCTCCTGGGCTTCTAATCTGTTTCACTTCCTGGGTCACCAGAAATACCCCTCCAGGGGGTTCCCGTGGTCTTCATCAAGAAAACGTGGTGTGCCCCGTCTCTTGAAAGGACATGCTCAGTCCACTGTGATGCTTCACATGCTCTGTGGCATAGATGTTAAAGGGATCCGCTGACACGTAGATGAACCGTGATACATTCATTTTGTTTTCATGTACCAGATTGATTTATTTATTCAAAGATTGTTTTCAAGGCAAGTGGTTCTGCCTGCCTTCAGCAGGGTGGGGAAGATGTCTATTGTAAAGCTTTACAATTCAGTACCATTCAGATGACCTCAGTAAAGGTGTTGTGTGCCATTTTCCCTCACAGAGACCTTAAAGTGCAGGCTTTGATTCAGTAGGTCTGGTGCCTGACATTCTGCATTTCTAACAAGGTGCTGGGCATTGCTAGTGCCAGGGTAGTTCGACCACACTTAGAATAATGCTTGCTAAGGAATCATAGATGGCTGTAGTTTTCACAACAGCCTCTAGATGTCCCCATTTCCCACGAGATTTTGCTCCTATAACTTTACAACAAGCAGAACTCCAAGCCCTGAAACTGAAATTTAGCAATTTATTGAAATACTCAAAAGACTTGTCTAGAAATTTGTTTGGATTTATTGCTTCTATGTGGAACTGAGTCTCTGGGGAAAAAAATGTTTACTTTTTTTAAAGGGAAATTTTGAAATCAAGATGGTTGTCTTAAGAATTTCCATGAAATGCTAAATCTAAATTAGAACATCTCAGAAATTAGCAGTTAGCTGCACATGAAAGGTACACATAGAGTGGTAATTCTTTACACTAAGTTTTGTTTTTTTTTTTTCTGAGACAGAGGTTCACTTTGTCACCATCCATAAGAGTGCAGTGGCATCAAAACTTACAGTAGCTTCAAACTCTTGGGCTCAAGTGATCCTCTTGCCTCAACCTCCCAAGTAGCTGGGACAACAGGCACCCACCACAAAACCCGGCTATTTTTATTTTTATTTATGTATTTATTCGAGACAGAGTATTCCTTTATCACCTTCAGTAGAGGTACAGTGCCATGTCATAGCTCACAGCAACCTCAAACTCTTGGGCTCAAGTAATCCCCTTGTCTCAGCTGGGACTATAGGTGCCTGCCACAATGCCGGCTATTTTTAGAGACAGGGTCTCACTCTTGCTCAGGCAGGTCTGGAACTCTGAGCTCAGGTGATTCACCCGCCTCAGCCTCCTAGAGTAGTAGGATTATAGGCATGAGCCTGGTGCCCGGGCCCATTACACTGTCTTAAAACCAGATTGTGTTAATAAATACTGTTACCATTAGCAATTTATCAGCATGAATTCACTCATAAACTTCATTATTAACTAAAGCCATTCAAGCTTCCTGTGTAGACCACCAAGAGCCAGGTGTTATGCCCAAAAGTTCCACAAAGACCACACTGGCAAGCAAACTGAATTCACAGCAGAGTCCCTTTATTGGAGACCCGGCAGGCAGCTGCCTCATACTCAACACGGGTTCAGAGAGTAGCCCGAGTTGTGTGTTACACGGTAAAACTTTTTTGGGGGGGGGGGCAAAGCAAGCATTATTACAAAAGCAAAAATTGCAGTTCGGTTAGTCATTTTACACAATACTGTGATCATGAGAGTGATTTAGTGACAAAACAGGTACAAACCACAATGTCCTAAGGGGGAATGCAGGGAAGGGAACTAATAAGTAAGGGTCATAAAGGGCGTGATCATAAAAAGCTATAATCACAAGGGCTATGTGGTTAGTAACTTACATTACTAACAATTTTAGCTAAAAGCATTTATAGTTACAATGGGAGAGCAAACAAGAGGAACTAGTTTTTTGGTTTTTGTTTTGAAACAGAGCCTCAAGCTGTCCCCCTGGGTAGATAGAGTGTCATGGCATCACAGCTCATAACAACCTCCAACTCCTGGGCTCAAGTGAGTCTCCTGCCTCAGCCTCCCAAGTAGCTGGGACCACAGGCGCCCACCACAACACCTGG